GTTGTATTGAGTTCACTGTGAGCATCTAACGGTAAGAATTCTCATTGCGACTCTGCTCAATCACGTTGAATATCTGAATTTGATTCCTTTGTCTGATCTTTTTTCGAGTTTATCATTTTTAGATGTCGCACTGAATTTATTTCACTTTCAGGCAGTTTCTGACGAGTTTCTCCGGCGGCTATTCCGGCTTATCTCCATCGACACTTTTCTTTTCTCTTCTCAGTCCTCGGTGCATGATAAGTTTATTTCTAATAATGACTCTTTCTTATTTCGTTCATGTTTTTTTAAATGTGTCAACTTCCACTGTTGAGGTTTGGATGAAGGTGAATGATTTCGGGAGTTCTGCGCATGCCATGGTGTTAGATTTTTGATGAGCTGGCGCATGATATTGATTCCTGTGATAAGAATGCTTTGGATATGTTGTAGTTGTGTTGGAGAGCTACCAGAAACAAGCTTGAACTGAAATAGAGGAATTGTATCTCTGCATGCTAGGTGTTCGAGTAAATGTCTGCATGCTAGGCACCGGAGTCATCACCACCGGAGACCCCAGTACGTCTATTCACAATGAAATTTTCTGCCTATTTTTTACACTTCTTTGATTTCTAAGGTATTAGTAATTGACATTGATGTAAAGTGGGGTTGCAGGTTATGAGGAATGTACGTATGGGGCTTGAGAAGAACACAAACTGGGAAGAGACGGTGGCTCCAGGTTTAAGGCAAAGCCCATAAGTAATTAGCCAATAGTTTTGTTTATTTAGGGGTTTTTGTGTTAATCACTAATCTGCGGTCGTGGGAAGTGTTTTTCTCTTGATTGGTGGTACTCCATGTGCATAACTTAAAAGCAGTAGGTTTTTGTTTGTTATATTGTGGATATGGAATTTTTACCATCTTAGGCTCATGCCGTGGTAGGTTTTGTCTGATACTTTTTATTTAAACTTTTGGATTGTAATGTTGTTGCTGTCCATTATGGGAGTTTCTATTTTTTCCAAGTGTATTATATATTTAATGCTTCATAAATTCAGGATTGGTACCGACAAAATGTTAGGTGTTCAAGAATGGTAGTGGGGCTCGACAGAGTACACCAGGATTGGTACCGACAAAATGTTCGAATGAATTTGAGCCAAAGTTTAAACATGTTTGAATGAATTAAGTTCAAAATTCAGTTTAAACATGCTAGGTGTTCGAGCAAATGTCTGATTGAACAAAAAGGATTGGTTGGACAGTCGATCGGCCAATCAGCCGCTCTGCCTAACTGTGAATGTTCAAAATGGTGTTTGAGCAAATGTTAAAAGTGATTTTTGTTGCATTAAAAAAAAAAAACAACACACACATAGAGAAAGCCCACCATACATCCACACACATCACATACCCATTTTAATGGTTAAGTTTGAATTTTTTAGTGCACTCCAACTATTTGTTTTTTTGCTCATTAAGCACACCGACAGTCTATCCCTTCTTTCTATAATACATTTGTCCACATTTTCTAGTGGTACTAAAAAAATTGACAGTCCGACAAATGGTGGTGCAATCGACGACTCAGTCAAATGTCTTTATAATTGGTGTTTAAATTGGAGGCTTTTTAATTTGTGTTTATATTCATTGTTTGATTATTTCGTATATAAGAATTATGTACAGTGCTTTCAGACACGTGATATATGACAAGTTTAGACTTTCAGTTTAGGTTGTGTCCTAGCTCAATGCTTGATTATTTTGTGTTCAAATTCAATGTTTGATTTTTTTTAGTTGTACCGTGCCTTCAGACACGAATTATCCCTATATATATATATATATATTGCACATGCCTGAAGGCATTATATAACATAAAAGAAAAATTGCAAGCAATTGCCCAAATTAAAAAAGAATGACCTGAAAACATTCATACCAATTTTTCTTTTAAAATGACTGAAATATAATGTTGGCCATATCTTCCATATTAATGGAACTATCATAAAAATATACAAAAAACTTATCAAAATAGCACCACTTATATAAATACCAAAAAAAAATATTAACAGGACCTAATAAAGTTTACAATCTTTAAATAATAAATAAAATTAATAAAATATTATTTATTTATAAGACTCGTGAATTTATCACTACGGCTACCATTCAACCTAATAACACAACATAATTATAAACTCAATCTCCAAATTTTCAATCCACCACATATAATAAATACTTCAAGAAAAAACAAACAAATACTAAGGCATTGAGTCCAAAACTTATGATATAAAAAATATAATTAGCACTCAAAAACACAACCCTGAGACAATATCATTCCACAAACACATTTTGCATAATCGAAATAGTAAAGAATACGTTGATAAAAAAAAAGTAGTAAAGAATACAAATTGTCATAAAAAAAATGACACATGTCATAGTGATTACTAAAACACATCTCTTTGAAATGCTCCTCTAGTATAGTAATATTGAAACACAAAAAATAGTACTATTTAAACAAAAAAAAAAAATAGTAAGATTGAATATTAATATTTGAAAAAATAACAATAGTAACATGGTTAATAAAAAAAAATAACATTGAAAATTGATATTTTGAAAAAATAGTAATATTGAATATTAACAGTAACATACTTATAAAAGAATAATAACATGCTCGAAAAAAAAATAGTACCATGCACACCAATTCGATCCTTGAACCCTCTCTCATCCTTTAAAACCTTCAAAATAACTCTCTTTTTCCAATACACACCACCAGAAATAAGTCATGGAGCTATGGTTCGACGATCTCTCCAACAACCTCTAAAGCATGAGCAAAGATGACGACGCCGTGGAACCTAGAAGAGGCCAAAAATACGTGACAATCCCAAGAAAACTTAGCACAACATAGATATGTGGGGGAAGATGCAACCCGTTGATTCTCAATTAGATTCAAAAAAGGGCAGTTCCACAACCGCAACACGAGGGATGAATATTGACAAGGTGAATGTTTCTATTATTGTGGCAAAACAACCTCCTCGAATGAGTATTTTTACTTTGGAGGAATCACCTTTCATGAAGGAGAAGAACAACGACGACGATGATCATCATGATTTCGAGTAACGGTATCAACAACATGGGGCATTCTTAGAGGGTTGAAGTTTTCATGTATCGTTGATTCATACAGTTGGATGAATTAGAATTTCAAATTTTATGGTCAAATCTTATGAGCATAAAGTTACAATTAAGGGATAAAGAATCTGAGCGTTTCCAATTAAGAAACATAATCAACATTTAATACTATTAAAGCATTATATAAAGGGCATTTTAGAGTTTTTAAAAAAATTTGGACTTAATTAGTTATTAGTAAAATAAAAAACAGACTTATCACCAAATAAATTTTTTTAACGGACTCAATTCATTATAAGTTTTTTAACGAGAACTCAGTTTCAATTTTCACTCTCAAGTCATTATAAGTCCTTTAAGGAGGACTCAGTCCTACTTTCACTTCAATTGAAATAATTTGGGTCTATTAATTCAATCGTGAAATTAAAAAATTTTAAAATTTATTTTTTTAAATAAATAAAAAAAAACTAACTAGAGGCTACTAAAAAATTAGTTTTAACTCTCAAAAAAAAGTTAAGTTTAAACTTATCATCATAATTTTTCAATCATTCTTTATCTCTCTTACTATCAAGTTCAAATATGGTAACAAAGACTTAAATATAAAATTTTAATTAATATTTTTTGTGTTTAAAAAAATTAAAAATTAAATTTATTATTAATATTAAAATAAATAGAATCTCATTTATCGTTTCCGGTTTAGGCATCAAAATATCTTGGACCACCCTTAAAAGTAATCTCTATATGACAATGGATTTTGTCGTGATCTTAAGTGGATATTGTATTTAAGTCGTTTCACAATAAATATTTGTTCAATTCACGCAATCTAGTTGCAATTTGATATACAATTCATGTATAGTTTGACCAACCTGATTGGTTATGATATGAATTCATTAAGATTAATCTCACGTCATGCATGATGGTGACAAAATCGAAGGACCAATTCATGCACGAAACAAGGAATGAAGCAGCAGCCATGTGCCGGAAGAATCTTAGTGCACATCTCTCGAAATAGTATAGTTGACTTTGACATTTGTGTCTTCGTTGTTTTCAATTCACATGCTAACAACTCCTCTCCTTATTCAAATGTTAATCCTTACAAAAAAATAACAACGTTAGCTGGATTTTAATGATTTTGTTCAATCTTTTTTTACCCTCAAAAGCTTCTCAATTCCTTCTCCATTACAATGTGTGGCCTAAAGTCGTCACCCTCGTGGCAGACACTACTACCGATAAGTCACGAAGATTATATGAATTAATTAACTTTGATGAACTATTAGTTTGAGGTGTCAAGTTGACTTATCAACACAAATACGACATCAACTCAGAGCGATACGATTTTAAAATTGACACGATTGATAAATATATATAATAAGTTGGTTGGATTAATGTTTGACAATTATAATATATTAAATAATCTTATTTTCTCGTAGAAATAGACACAAATACGACAATATTATAATAGCAATATGCTTAAAAAATAACAACATGGGGATAACACAACACGAATTGAGACCTCACAAAAGAGTGCTAAACATTATCTCACCTTCCCCACCCCTTCACTTGATTAGCCTTCGAACTAACATTTCTTTGACCAGCCTAAGTATTTAAAAAACTCTCACTTTTATATTTATTTGGAGAAGCACATGCATATGAAAAAAGAAATCCATATTTAAGTAGTTTTGTTTAGTTAATTTCAACGTGTACACAAAGAAGATATAGATATTAAAACAGCTCAGCTAGAAACTCTCTCTTTCTCTCTCTCTGTGATGGTTGGTACAATATTAAAATTTCACGTAGCTGTACTCATGTGTAAGTACCACCTTCTGAGGTTTACAATATGCTGAAAGCATATTGCTGGCTCAGTATATAAAGGAAGCATTGATGTGACCATGGAAATGCACAAGAGATCAGAGAGAGAGAGAGAGAGAGAGAGATAGATGAAGTGTTTCAATTTCTTGATTGCTATAGTAGTGGTTTTTGGAGTGTTAGGAGTCTGCAATGGCAGTGGGTTGAGGGAGAATTTCTACAAAAGTAGTTGTCCTCAAGCCGAGCAGATTGTTCAAAACATTACTTGGAAACAAGTTGCTAGCAATCCGGCATTGCCTGCTAAGTTGCTGAGGATGCATTTCCATGACTGTTTTGTTAGGGTAAAATCATTTCTACTCCATGCATAAGCCAATCATATATATATGCATGCTTTCATACCTCTAAACAAATAGCCAATTTACCTAGCTTACAATGCATGCAAAAAGCCATTTCGTATAGACTTATAGACTGTCAATGACTCATGTCACGCCGAGTTCATGTTGTGTTAAAATTTGCTTTAACACCTAATACGTATTGGTTTCATGTTGAATTCACGAGTCATGCCTAGTTTTCTCACTTTTGCAATCTCTTCATACAATTTTTTGTTTCTAAATGCTTCTATGGTGGTTGGTTTTTCAGGGCTGTGATGCCTCGGTATTGATTAACTCCACAGCAAATAACATAGCTGAGAAGGATGCAATTCCAAACCTATCACTGGCAGGATTCGACGTTATTGATGAAATAAAGACCCAACTGGAGCATACTTGTCCTAGAGTAGTATCTTGTGCGGATATTATCGCTTTAGCTGCTAGAGATTCGGTTTCTTTTCAAGTAAGCTTTATATAAATATTATGGAAATAAATTAATTTTAATGTTCGTTACCTTTATACTCGCGACTCTAATGGAAATTTCAAATGCACGTAATCACTCACAAGGGATAGGCAACCTTGTGCTTGTCCACGAAACTCATACTTAGGACTAAGGAGTTGCGTTTTACACCTCGTTATTTGTTCTTACTCTGAACCAACCCGTGCTGGCTACCACCTCTGATATTAACTTCGTTGGTATAATGGCATACAAATAATCTAGTCAACAAAGAAACTAGTATATACTAATAATGACTTGTATCTAAAAATCCTCTGAAATATCAAAAATCGAATATTAATCATCCAACATTTTATATTTAAAATAGTCATTTATTTTATTTTTTAAAATTATGAAATATAAAGTTAAAGTGAATAAAAAGAAAATAAAAGAGAGGCAAAAGAGAGAGAAAAGAGAGATATATGTTGATTAGTGAGGTTGTTTAGCATTGCACCGTGTAGAGAACATGTTTTTGAGCGGAAATAGATGAATATTAAATCAATGTTGACAGTTGTTGTATTTTTGTATTTTTATAAGTTGAAAATTCAACTTGTTCACAGTAATATTAGATAGATTTATCATTTTGAAAAGAAATTTTGATGCAACATTCCAAGTGTTATAACTGCAGTTCCAGAAATCAATGTGGCAAGTGCTAACTGGTAGAAGAGATGGAAGTATTTCACATGCTTCAGAAGCTTTGGCCAACATACCGTCTCCATTTTTCAACTTCACCACTCTCCAACAAGCTTTCGCCAACAAAAACCTTAATGTTCAAGATCTCGTGGTTTTATCAGGTATTACAAAAAAATACAAGATTTATTGTATGCTATCTATATGCGAAGTTTAAGGATCAAAATATCCTTTCGAAATATCCGAAACGTTTTCCATTTTCAAGGAGATCGAAATGAAATATTGATAAAATCGAAATTCTAATATTTTGAACTATTTTATAATATTTTGAGATATTTTATAATATTTCAATGCATTTGAACAATTATTCCAGAATGTTTCAAGATATTTCAAAATATTTTGATATATTTCAATCAACGTTTTAAAAAAATAATTCTTAAATTTTTTATTTTTGTCCTTTTGTTTCCAAAACGGGTCGAAAAGATTCTTAAACACGTCAAAACGTTTCCGTTTTCTAAGTGACCGAAATAATACACCGAAACAAAATTTTAATCTTTGGTTGCTAATAGTTTATAAAAGTTACATCGAGTATAATGATACTTCCTCCCCTACAATTTTCATAAGATTCCGGTTTGTCCGTGTGAAATTTGTTTCAATTTATTACTTTCTTCAAGTATGATTAGAATATGGTACCGAAAAATATCATGTGTCATCAAATAGCAGATCCAAATGTTATTTTTGTTGAGTGAAACTAATTAAAAGAAAAAAAATATGAACTTGTGACACGAAAGGTAAGGGGTAATAGAGATTCTCCAAAAACTACGTGGTCAATGGATGACCGCCGCCTAACGGGTCGTGTCCGTCAAGCTAAAAGGTCAGCCATGGGCCATGGACTTTTTGGTCAATCCCTGCCAATGCAGCAGCCGTTAGCTAATGTGACCCAGTAGTATGCAAATAGAAAGATTAGTCTAATCTTAAACTTGCCCTGTGGCAAAATATGCTATGTGCAGGTGCACACACTATTGGTGTTGGACATTGCAACTTATTCAGCAACAGGCTATACAATTTCACCGGAAAAGGCGACGCCGATCCTTCCCTGAACTCCACTTACGCGGCCTCCTTGAGAACGAAATGCCGGAGCCTCTCTGACACCACAACCACGATAGCAATGGACCCTGGGAGCGCTCTAACATTCGACAACCATTACTTCTCTAACTTGAAGATTCACCAAGGCCTTTTCCAATCTGATGCTGCATTGTTGACTAACAAAGGTGCCACAAATGTTGTTGATGAAATGTTAATTTCTGGACCGTTCTTCACTCAGTTTAACCAATCTATTCAGAGGATGGGTGCAATTGGAGTGCTCACTGGAACTGCAGGAAAGATAAGGAAGAGATGTAGTGTGGTTTAATCTTTAAGGCTTTGGATGATGATTTTTTTTTGAGAATTTGTTTGAGTCAAAATTGAATAAAATTAGTGGTTAATTATTTTGTTGGAATGGAATTTTTGTTCAAATAGTTTTCATCTGCCTATGTTCTTCGTTTGTTTCGAATTTGAAGTGATGTCAATGGGATTGAGCTTGTAACATCTACTCCTGAATATTCTTACCTTTACATGGATATAAGTGAATCTAACTTAAACTTAAAGGAAAAATAGAATAAGAATCTCTATTTGACTGATGATACACAATCAAAAGTCGTTAACTAATTGGACAACCCAAGTTTGGACTGCCATGTACCATGGAACTCTGCTTCACATTGCCGATCTAAAATAAAACATACGAGAAAAATACTTGTTTTTATACCACATAAAGTAAAATAGCATTATGGTCTTAATCGACTTGACACAATTTATGAGTATATTAGTTATTACATGTGCCTGAAGGCACAAATTAATAAAAAAAAATGTCAACAATAAATATATTTGTATTTATACTAAAAATTAAATTATAAATATAGAGAAGAGAGAGAAAAATTAAACCCCAATTGTAATAGGGGTAAGCAATGGTAATGGTGGCGGGTGGTAATGATCATGGTGATGGTGGTAGCCGTGTATAGCAACGGTGATGGTGTGATTGATTTTTGGTGACGATGATAATAGTAGTAACCATGGGTGACGACGGTGATAGTGGTTGGTAATGGTGGTAGTGGGCGACAATGAATTATTCTAAGCGATAGTGTGATGAATGGTGACGAATGATGGTAGTAGAGATAGTGATACATGTGATGGGTGTGAATGACAGTGGGTGGCAATTGTGGTAGGCAATAACAGTGGCAACTGTGGTGATGGTGGTGGGGTGACGACGACGACAATGGTAGGGCGTGATGGTGGGACAGTGCGGGTGGCGGTGGTAGGGGTAATGGTGGGACAGTAGTGGCGGTGGTAGGGTGACAGCAGCAATAATGTTGGTAGTGGGGTAGTGGTAGAGGTGATTGTGGTGGTGGGGTGGCGTCGACGGTTGTTGTGGCAAAGGTGGTGGTGGGATGGTGACAGCGGTGGTGGTGGTAATGGGGGTAGGGCAGTGGGGGTGGTGGTGATGGTGGTGGGAGTAGTTGTGGTGCTGGATTGGCGATGGTGGTGGTAATGGTGAGATGAGTTCAAATACTATTTTTTTTTAAATACTTATGAGAAGTTATAAAATATTTTTAAAAAAGTCATTCAAACACCTCCTCAGGGACATATTCTCTATTAAATTTGAGGTGTTAATATTAGTCGTTAAATTAACTTTAAAATAAAATTTAAAGAGATCTCAATCGCGAAAAGTAAAAGTCATTTTGTTTATTTTTAGAGATTTGAATTGTATTGTATTTTATTATATAGATTGTATCAAAATCAAACCGAAGTTATCACTAGAAAGCCCCAAGTATTAAACTCTACAATGTATTAATCAATCCTAAAATAGTTATTCTCTCTCCATTGTCTCCTATAATCCACAAAATTAAATTTTAGGATTATAAAGCTATCAAATATTTATAAGTGAAGGGGAAAGGCCGAAGGGGGAGGTATGTTCAGTAAAAAGATATGGTTAAATATGAGTTGTTTGATAATAAAACTAATTTTTTTTATGAGTAGAAACTAGGGATGTCAATGGACCGAAGCGGAGGCGGAGGGTATATTCTTCATTCCTGTACCCGCCTAAAAACCTTCGTCCATTCCCGGTCCACCCTTGCTAACAGGTATAATTTTCATCCTCATCCCCGTCCGCAGGTAAATTTATAATCCTTATCCCCGTCCTCGCTTCCCCTGTACGCACCCAAGCCCAATTAGTTCTGTAAATGAGCCGATGGACAGAGTGGATCTCAATTTGTTCTGTAAATGAGATGGCGAACTGGTAAATGAGTGGATTTCATCCTTCAATGTCCCCAGCAATTGACATAGATCAAGCAAAAAAATGAGAGCATAGAAGGCAAAAACAAAAAAGTCAAAGCATAGATTCCAATCGGCAATGCCAAGAAGTAAGAACATTCATCCAACACTGAAACTTAAATACCCCAAATTGACAGAGGAACTGGACACATATGAGATCATTCTGATGATTCTTAAAAATCATAAATAAAAAAAACCTATCAATAATCATAAACTATTATTTTGATGATTTACAGATATACAACCCCAAACTAATCATAAATACAAAAAAAAACCCAAAATCAAGGAAACCTTATGAGGTCTAAGATGGTCAAGCCCATCAGGGAATTACGGGAGCATCCAGGAGCTATACACTTGCCCATTGAGGAAGAGGAGAGGTCGCCAAGGAGAGAAGAGGTCGCCAAGAAGAGGAGAGGTCATTAGCTATTAAGTTGCCTCCAGTCCGTTATAACTGTCAAACTACTCAATTACTACGCAGACTTCTATAAATTGTAAGCTCTCCCAATATTTGGGGGGCATCTCAACAAAATCAAACTCATCTCTCTCTCTCTCTTTCTCTCTTGTAATTCTTGCTCTCCCACCACACCGGAGTCAATAAAATTTTCGACGAACTTAGCCATTGAAAGTGCACGTAGGTCTCATTGATCAAACCACTATAAACCTTATTTTCTTTCTCCATCTATTTACTACATTTTATATTGTTTAATTGACGGGTGGTGTGCAAATCTATTTTGTGCATCATCAGTTTAGCGCCGTTTGTGGGAATGACAAAATTCTTACCTAAACATTTTCTTGGCTGAATCAAAGGCGATCACCATCAGATCCTTGAATCAGCCTGAAGACATTCCACCATGAGAAGAGAAGGTTGCTCCTCCACCCAATCCAGTCCCAAATGCGGAGCAGATGCTGGAGACCACACAATAGCTCATAGCCCAGAACCAGCAAATTCTGCAATTGATGCTTGAACAATAAGAAGGAGCACAGCTTGGACCTCAAGTCAGGGAAGCTCCACTCCCTAGTCATCAAGGAGCTCATCACCTTGGCGCTCCCCATCCAGCCGCCCCCCTGGGCGCCCCCCTTTAGGAGTTCTCTTGGGCGCCCCACACAGGGGGGCTCACCATAAGGGTCCTCCTCCAGCTCCTGCTCCGGCTCCCTATGGTGGAGACCCTCCTCTCCAAAAGGACGAGGGTGAAAACCAAATCATGGAGCATGAGAGCCATTTTCGTGATAATTTCAGAGTACCTCCTCCCAATTAATGAGATGAAAAAAATTAAAGAGATACAAAATCAAGTGGATGACGTCTTCAACGCCATGAAAGCGCAGGGCCCCGAGACAATAGACTACCTCGTAAGTCGTTTGAGCAAGCTTGCTGAAGGATGGAGAGACAGTTGACCNTATATATATAACGGGTAACGGGGCGGGACGGGGCCGGGCTGGGCCGGGGTAAGGGTAAAGTTCATCCCGTCTTCATTTCTGCACGGGTTTATACGGGTATTCCCCGTATACGTCCAACATCTAATATGTATAGTTTATCTCCGGTCCAAACGGGACGCGTTTGGACTAATACACGTTTTTTTCCGGTCCACTGTCATCCTTAGTAGAAACATTTTCAAGTGGAACTGAGCCTACGCCACCCAAGGAAGGATAGTTAGCATAACCAGATAACGATCATTCAGTAGAGTAGAGAAATAAGGAAGCAGAGAGAGGGAGAGAGAGAGAGAAATTTAAAAAATACAGTGACTTGTTCAATGATCGCAAAAACAAGGTTCCCTTACAATTGTTTAAGGCGGCAGTAAATATTTTCATCCTTGACCTTTCCTGGTGCAATTAATTTGACAGCTATAGTGTTCGACGAAATTCCCAAAAAAAAAAAAAAA